GCATCACCCATGTCACGAGTTGAGTTGAGTTGAGAGTTGGGTTGAGTTGGGTTGAGCAGAGCACAGCAACATGTCCCTGCCAGGGGACAGCCACTCGCCCACAGCCTTTATTTAGTGTGGAAAAGCCTCAAATTTATTAAAAACACTCCTGCAGGAGGGGAATATTTTTTTCAGAGCCCCCAAATCAAGGCTCGAAATAAACCCAAGCCCAGGGCGGGGGGGACACACAGCCCCGAGCATCACCCAAGGGCAAGGGGGGGACACATCCCCAGGGGTGGAGGGTCCTGTGTCCCCCCTCCTTGTCCCCATCAGCACTGGCAGCGCTCCCGGGGCTCCCCCCGCGCCGGGGGCCGGGGGTGGCTCTGGCTGGGGATGAGCCTGATGCCACCACAGCCCCGGAGAGGGGTGTCCCCCCCCCGGCCCAGCGCCCGCTGGATGCCCCCCGCCAACGTCTGGAAGGCCAGCTCCACGTTGAGGTTGCTGAGGGCCGAGGTCTCCACGAAGGCCACCATGCCCAGGGTGGTGGCCAAGTGCCCGGCCTCCTCCGCCGACACGGCTCGCTCGGCCTCCAGGTCACACTTGTGTCCCACCAGGACGAAGGTGGGGGGGTGAGGGTCCCCCGCGGCCTCGCGGTGCCACTCGGGGACGCGCTCGAAGGAGGCCCGGTTGGTGAGGTCGAAGACCAGCAGCACCCCCGCCGCGCTCCGGTAGAAGGACCTGGTGATGGACCTGGGCAACACCAGGAGGGGGGGAGATTTGGGGGACACCCCAGCACCCACCAGCTCCTGCCCCCTGATTTGGGGGACACCCTAGCACCCCCTGCCCCGGGATGGGGGTCGGGGGACTTTTGGGACCTCAGGAGCAGGGGTGGGGAGACCTGCCTGGACCATCTGCACCCCAATTTTCAGTTGGGGCAGAACTGGGGGGCTCTGGAGGGTTTTTGTGGGAGCTCAAGGGTCCTTCTGTGCCCCCCCCAGCAGTGGGGATGGGGCAGCACCCATGGATGGGTGCTGATGGGGCAGAAACAGGGCACCCCCAACCAACCCTAGGGCCCTCAAAAGGGATGGGGGCAGCATGGGACCCCCCCCAACTCCAGCCCCAGCTCTTCAGCCCCTCCTGCCCCATTTGAGCCTCCCTCATGCCCCTGGGAGCTCCAGGCTCCAGCCTGATGGGATCAGGGAGGGGATCACCCAGCCCAGCAGCACCCCAAGATTGGCACCTCAGGACCCTGCACCCCAGCACTGGGACCAGGACCCCAGAACCAGGACAGCAGGACCTGCACCCCAAAACCA